TGTTTAGCCCCAATTCAAAGGGCAGATCTACACACATGGTTTTTAACATTAAGGAATGGTTTTGATAACGTAGATAGACACATGACATCCTACCTTTTATGTTCATAATGCATTATGAACTTGTATTTTGTATCACTTAATTCTTATTCATTTTATGCTGCTAAATTGGTGAAATACTGCTCATATGTCCCTATGTAGCGTTTTACCTCTTTCTTTCTTTTTACTGCATTCAAGCTCTGATCCACCTGCAATGGTATTTGAGTGCCAGATAGGAAAGGACACAGAGGGAGGGAGGAGGAATTAAAATGTGACACCAGAGGGCAGAGCAGTGCAACCACCAGCAGGGAAAGAAACTGTTCTTTGGAAATGGTGTTGCTAGGTATTACAGTGGTACCTCCAGTTACAAACATAATTTGTTCCAGAGGTCTGTTCTTAAGCTGAAACCGTTCTTATCCCAAGGCACGCTTTCGCTAATGGGGCCTCCTGCTGCACGTGCACCACTGGCGTGTGATTTCTGCTCGCATCCTGGGGCAAAGTTCACAACCAGGAGCAGCTACTTCCGGGGCAGCGGAGCTCGTAACCTGAAGTGTTCGTAACCAGAAGCGTTCATAACCAGAGGTACCACTGTACTTAGGGGTTGCCATACATCCTGGAATTCTAGGACATGTCCTCTTTTGGGGGTCCTACGTGCCCACCCGGGGGGAATTTTACATTTTAAAGCAAATGTCCTGGATAATAATAATAATAATAATAATAATAATAATGTGTGCTGGCGGCTCTGGTTCAGGCTGTGGCTCTGGAATGGGCAGCTCATAGCTATCGGGCGATTGCCTTAAAAAAACGCAACAACTTTTGTGTCTGGATTTTTACTTTTTGAAATATGGCAAATCATATGGGAATATGATTTTTTTTTTTAAAAAAAAAAGGTAAAAAACATTTTAATTAAGAAGTGTGCCCTGTGATGTTTTAGAACAACATATATAGTATCGTTGTAATAGGGGGAAATAACGTTAACAGGTCAGTGTAGATGCAGCCCAAGATTTTTCTATAGTTTGGATCCCAATGCACTGCTTCTCACTTTCATGTAGGGGTAGGGGAAGAATGTTGTGCAGCTTAAAATCTTTTCAAACTGATATGAGAACAGAAACACAGCTAACCTTCAGAGTTTGCATTTTCCCAAATGCTGCGGAGTCATTCTCTAACCTCTCCCAGACTTGCAGAGTGCACAAAATAATTATTAGTTGAAAGCAGACCTTTAAAAGGTGCATATTAGTGAAATTATCATACAGAAATGCTCTGTACATGGAGAAATTGCTTGCAAAAATGTGTGTAGTAGATAAAGTTTCTGGGAAAATGTGCAGAAATATCCATGCATATTTTGTGTGTGTGCAAATGTAACCCAAATGTAAGTAACCAGCAGCATAATTGGATTTCTGTTGAGGTACTGATCATTCTTTATTTTTAATTCAGATTAGATGAACACATGAAAACATTACACATAATAACTATTTCAGCAATGAAAATATATTGAGTCACAACAGCACTGATTGAAGAGAGCCAAAAGAATAGTTTCAGCCCGATCTTAGCCATCTCTCCTCAGAAGTAAATTCCCTCCTCCTTATTTCAGTGAAGTATATTCCCATATGCATAGGATTTTAACTTTTGGAATAGAGCTGTCAATGAGCCCTTTAGCTCTGTCAAGCCTTCACCAACATTGCCAAAAAGTGACCAAGTAGCAGTGGTGTCAGGAGATGGCATGGCAGTAATTCCATAGGAAGTGTTGCGTCTATTACCCAAGTAGTCACGAACTGGCAGTACAACAGGGAAGAGGAAGAGGGGTGTAGTCGGGACTGGGACACACTGGAGATTGGGAAGGAGAGGTTGGTGTAGGAAGGTGATGGAGGATGATGAGGGGATGGGGGTTATGCCCAGGAACCGGAGCAACAGGACCCATCACCAGAGCCACAGGTGTCTCTGTCTCCACAAACACAGCGGGCTCTGAGCAGCAGGCAGGGCACTCCAGGAAGCTGTGGCAGGCAAGGACCCACAGCCCAGGTCCCTAGCTCACCACTTGGGGCTTGCTAGCTCTTGGATGAAGCTGGTGTAGGCTCAGGACAGCTGAGGGCCACCTGTCTCATCAAGCTCACATGCTGCAGTCAGCGCGCAAAGTACAAGAGGGAAGGAGAGCTGAGGTGCTGTGCCTGCTCAACTGACCATGTTGAAGGACCTCACTTTAGATGCTCTAAGATGTTTGTGGGACTTTGGACCCGTGGATTGACCCTGGACTGGGGACTTGACTTACTTGCTGTAGTACTTTCATACACACACACACACACACACACACACACACACACCCTAACACATACATAATAATAATCTATAGTTTATCAATGTTCAAAATGCTTCACCTGCAAGCTTCACAACAACCTTATCCCCCATCTGCCCCTGTTTACCACAGACAGCTTATATTTCCTAGCCCATGATAAAACTGGGGAGGCCTTCAGGTTGTCCTTCAGCCCCCAGACAGCAGGTCACAGTCTTCCCAACTTTGGTGAGGTGCATTGTAGTTTTATTTAGACCATAGTACTCATTTGTAACTTTGCATCTTTAAAACACATTAGCATATGTAAATTTCATGCAAATATTTTCCCTCTTTTGCCACCTTTTTTGGGTGATGCATGTCCCCATCTTTTTCGGTGGTGCATAAGTGGTCACCCTACTCAGAGCAGATGGGCGATTTCGATGTAGAATCTTCCTCGGTCACACAGCTGAGTGTCTTCACCAACATGATGTTCAGCGGCCACTTATCTTCCTGGCAGGAAATATTCACCTGCAGAATTTCTGAGGCAATGCCCTTTCAAGGAACAAGAATGGGACAAAAAAGTGATATCTCTCATTAGTGCTTCTCTGTTATTGATAAATGCGTTCTGCCCTTCCGAAACTTTTGCACGGACGTTAGAATTCAGAGACACCTCCCACTCTTCCCTTGATTTCTCTTTTTCTCGTAAATGGAAAAGGTAAAGATTCTGAAGATATTGCTCCAAGGAAGATACAGAGAAGAGAATATTTTTCCAAGCAGAAATGAGGTTCAAGAAAGTGGAAACGTCTGGAAAGCCTGCCCATGGGACTAATAAGTCTTTGGTAATGATGTGCAGCTGCAAGCTGTTTAGCTCCTAGCTGCACTTGCTAGGGAGCCCAGCAGCCTAGCCTAGCTATCTGCAAATAACATATTCTTCCATGTTATTTCCTCAAGCCAAAACACACTCATTCAGAGTTAGCCTATAGTGATCTCCCCATAACTATTTCTTTGCCAGTTTCATATAATTCCACAAGGCTTCTTTCTATTATATTTTATACTATCTCTCTTAGGAAAGTGAAATACACAGCTGAATGAAAATGGACTCTCGACATTTCCCACACCATTTGTGGGTGGCAAAATTTGGAAGGGAAGGTATTTTGCTAAATACAGTGGTTCCTCGGTTTAAGAACAGCCCTGTTTAAGAACTATTTGGTTTACAAACTCTGCAAAACCAGAGGTAGTGTCCCGGTTTGCGAACTTTACCTCGGTCTAAGAATGGAATCTGACTGGTGGAAGGGCACCGGCGGCGGGAGGCCTCATTAGGGAAAGCATGCCTCAGTTGTAAAACGGACTTCCAGAACAGATTACAGTGGTGCCTCGCAAGACGAAATTAATTCGTTCCGCGAGTTTTTTCGTCTAGCGAATTTTTCGTCTTGCGAAGCACGGTTTCCCATAGGAATGCATTGAAATTCAATTAATGCGTTCCTATGGTCAAAAAAAGTCCAATCAAAGCCAAATTTGGTACAACAATAGTTTATTAACTGCTCTTTAAAGTCACACATACTTTAAAGAGCATATCAAAACTGAAGGGACAATAAATTAAGTTTCTAAACATGACAGAAAAACATTTAAAAATCAACAAAGTGTACTGTACATACATTTTCTAAGACTCTGGGGGACCACTCGAAGAAGGTTCCTCTTCCACTCTTTGCTTCTTGCTGAGGAACCTGTCCATGGTCTGCTGCTTCATCCGCCTTTTCAGCAGCTCCCTGAGAGGCAACATGACCGTCGTATCAAAAGTGTTCGCTTGGTCATGTGCCACGTGCTTGTTAGGGTGGTGCCGCTCTGCCAAAGCCTGCACCTCCTTCCACTTCTGGCAAATGTCCCTCAGTTCTTTGGAGGACGGCCGTTCCTCAGTTGCTTCCTCCTCTTCCAGCGAGGCCTGCTCCTGCGCAACCTCTGCCTGCAGTTCAACCAGCTCCTGGGTGGTCAGCTCGTGGTCGTGCTCCTCCACCAGCTCGCTGACGTCCTCCTCTGTGACCTCCAGGCCCATGGTCCTCCCTAAGGCAACAATGTCCTGCACCACTGTTGACTCTGGTGCATCAGAGTCACTTGGTGCCACACAGTCCGGCCACAGGCTGCGCCAAGCGCAATTCAAATTTCTCTGGCTGATCCCGTTCCAGGCCGTGGTGATCATCTTCAAGCAGGTGACGATGTCAAAGTGGTCCTTCCAGAATTCCCGCAGGGTGATGGTGGTGCAATCAGTCACCTCGAAGCATCGCCTGAAAAGCTCCTTGGTGTAGAGTTTTTGAAATTGGCGATGACCTGCTGATCCATCGGCTGGAGCAGTGGCGTGGTGTTAGGCGGCAGGAACATGATGTTGATGAAGCTGAACTCCTCCAACAAGTCCACCTCAAGGCCTTTAGGATGAGCAGGAGCATTGTCCATCAGAAGCAAAGCCTTCAGCGGCAGGTCGTTGTCCAGCAGGTACTGTTTGACAGCAGGGCCAAAAGCAAGATTGACCCAGTCCACAAACAGCACACGTGTGACCCAAGCCTTGCTGTTGGATCGCCACATGACACTCAGCCGCTCCTTGTCGACCTTGTGTTTCTTGAAGGCCCGTGGGTTCTCCGAGTGGTACACCAGCAGGGGCTTGATCTTCAGGTCGCCGCTTGCGTTGGCACAGAAGAGCAGGGTCAGACGGTCCTTCATGGGCTTGTGGCCAGGCAACTTGGCCTCCTCCTGTGTGATGAAAGTCCTTTTGGGCATCCTCTTCCAAAACAGCCCGGTCTCGTCGCAGTTGAAGACCTGCTGTGGAACGTAGCCCTCCGTCTTCACAACCTCCAGGAACTCCAAGGCAAAGTCTTCAGCCGCAGGAACATCAGAACTGGCAGCCTCTCCATGCCTGACCACGCTGTGGATTCCAGATCTTGCCTTGAACCGGTCAAACCAGCCTCTGCTTGCCTTGAAGACTTCTGGCTCGCCTGAGGTTCCTGGCTGTTCCCGGATGAGGTCTGCGTGCAAGGCCTTGGCCTTCTCACAAATCACGGCCTCAGTCACTGTGTCCCCTGCACGCTGCTTCTCTTCTAACCAGATGAGCAGCAACTTCTCGACCTCCTCCAGAACAGCTGGGCGGTTCTTCACGATCCTGGTGACTCCCTTGGCTGCATCAGTCGCAAGGATCTTCTCCCTCATCTTCAGGATGGTCCCGATGGTCGATGGGTTCCTGCCGTACTCCCTGGCGAGGTCCGTCACACGCATTCCACCGTCGTGCTTCCAGATGATCTCCTTCTTCATTTCCAGCGTCACCTTCTCCTTCTTCCTCTCGCCGGCCTCCGCAGCAGCAGCAGTCTTCTTGGGTCCCATGGCAGCACAGCTCTTACCTTCGTAAACTCAGAAAAAGAAAAAAAAATCAGCAATTCAAACCCAGAACCAAGTCCTTGAATTCCAAACACCCAACCCAAAATCCAAAACCCCCCCAAAAAGTTTTAAAAGTTTAACTTATGAAATGGCTGCAAATCACCAACGTCTTCAAAATCCTCAAATGGCTGCAAAAGTTTTGGGAAAGCTTTAAAAATCACCAAAGTCTTCAAAAACCTCAACTGTTCCCCCAGCCCCTCCCCCACTGTTGCAAACCCCTCCTCAACTGTTCCCCCAGCCACCCAGCACACAGAAATTCAAACCCAGAAATTTTTTCAAAAAACAACAACATGGCCCAATGGTCACAGAAAACCATAAAAATTCAAAAAAAAAAAACAACCACACAAGCTTCCAGATTCTTGCAAACCCCTCCCCAGCTGTTCCCCCATCCACCCAGCACACAGAAATTCAAACCCAGAAATTTTTTCAAAAAAAACCAACATGGCCCAATGGTCACAGAAAACCATAAAAATTCAAAAAAAACCCACACAAGCTCCCAGATTCTTGCAAACCCCTCCCCAGCTGTTCCCCCAGCCACCCAGCACACAGAAATTCAAACCCAGAATTTTTTTCAAAAAACAACAACATGGCCCAATGGTCACAGAAAACCATAAAAATTCAAAAAAACCCCACACAAGCTCCCAGATTCTTGCAAACCCCTCCCCAGCTGTTCCCCCAGCCACCCAGCACACAGAAATTCAAAACCCAGAATTTTTTTTCAAAAAACAACAACATGGCCCACTGGTCACAGAAAATCATAAAAATGCAGAAAAAACCACACAAGCTCCCAGATTCTTGCAAACCCCTCCTCAACTGTTCCCCCATCCACCCAGCACACAGAAATTCAAACCCAGATTTTTTTTTCCAAAAAAAATAAACATGGCCCAATGGTCACAGAAAATCATAAAAATGCAGAAAAAAACCACACAAGCTCCCAGATTCTTGCAAACCTCTCCCCAACACCAAGTCCTTGAATTCTAAACACCCCAACCCAAAATCCAAAAACCCCAAAAAAAGTTTTAAAAGTTTAACTTACCAAACAGCTGCAAAAGAAGTTTTGGAAAAGCTTCAAAAATTCAGCAAACTCTTTAAAAAGCTCAAAAAAGGCCACCACACCGCGTGCAATGTGTTGCTCCTCGAAGTCAAGTCGCAACTGCACCTCTTCCAGCAATGCACCCTGGGTTTTAACGGTTTTACGAAAAAGGAAACAAACTTGCAAGACGTTTTCGTCTTGCGAAGCAAGCCCATAGGGAAATTCGTCTTGCGAAGCAACTCGAAAACGAAAAAACCTTTCGTCTTGCGAGGCGTTCGTCTTGCGAGGCGTTCGTCTTGCGGGGCACCACTGTAAGTTCATAAACCAAGGTACCACTGTATATATTTTAAGGGATAGAGTTGAATAGAGTCTTTTTTTCCCAGAAAATTCTCTTCTGAGAAAATTTCGGCTCACTTAAAAACAACAACAACAACATTAACTCTAGAAGGCACTCAGTTCCCACAGATTTTGGAATGTGGGAGAAGCCATAACCATTAAAGTGGCATGATAGTGCTTTAAATCAGTGTTTCCCAACTGGAGGTCATATGGCCCCCTGGGGACACCCCCAGGATATTCCAAGGGGGTCACAGGTGAAAATGGTGTAAATGGAGGGCCACAGCATGAGGCTTGAAGGTCGCAGAGGGAAGTCAGAAGTGAAGGGGGAGGCACTTTTTAAAAATCCTGATTGGCTGACCGCTTGGCAAATCGTAAGCAGGTAAAGGGGCAGCCCACCAGGGCCCAACACTCCGTTTTGCCATGTGTGTTTTCTTGGCACAGTCCTACAATGGGAGAGTGTAATTGCTGAGGCTCTCGTTTTGACCAGTAGAGCCCGCAATCCAGGACTCCCAGGTCAGGTAAGTGCGGTGGTGAGATGGCAATGGGTAGGGCTGGGCGAGCTGGAGCTGCTTGTTGCCGCCGCCAGTGCTGGGCCCAGTGGGAGCCTGGGCCTGACTCTGCAAGGTTCAGGGTGCAATCCACCCCAGGGCCTTCAGATGTTGCTGAGGGTGCAGGGCCTGTTGGCAGCACCTAGCCGAGCGGGGTTGTCTGGTGCTGCTGACTTGCATCTGGTAAATAACTGTCTACTCAGAAGAAAGCCACACTGAGGTAAGAGTGTGTGGGGCTATAGTGCTTTATCTAGGCAGCCAGGGCTCCTACGGATGACAAGTTCTTTTTGCACCAGGTCAGTGAGGACCACTTGCTTTTTGAAATTCTCCCATATATGCAGAACTCCATGTGTGCCTTCTGGACTTTATCTGTAGGTTGCCCCCTCTGTGTCAAAGAAGGTAAAGGTAAACGGACCCCTGACCATTAGGTCCAGTCATGACCAACTCTAGGGTTGCGGCGCTCATCTCGCTTTACTGGCCGAGGGAGCCAGTGTACAGCTTCCGGGTCATGTGGCCAGCATGACTAAGCCGCTTCTGACGAACCAGAGCAGCGCACGGAAACGCCGTTTACCTTCCCGCCGGAGCGATACCTATTTATCTACTTGCACTTTGACGTGCTTTCGAACTGCTAGGTTGGCAGGAGCAGGGACCAAGCAACGGGATCTCACCCCGTCACGGGGATTCGAACCGCCGACCTTCTGATCGGCAAGTCCTAAGCTCTATGGTTTAACCCACAGCGCCACCCGAGTCCCTTTCCTGTGTCAAATATCTGGGGTCAAATAAGTGTTGTTTGCTTTCTATAATACATTGAAGATGGATCTCCCTTGGGAGGTTGTGGACTCTCCTCCCTTGGAGGTTTCTTATCAGTGGTTGGATGGCCATTGGTCATTGATGCTTTAGCTGAGTTCCCTACATTGCAAGGGGTTGCACTAGAAAGATGACCCTTGTGGTCCCTTCCAGCTCTATGATTCTATGTTTTTCTGCTTCAACAATACTTCATTATGTTCCTATCACATTATGTAATTGTATTTTGTATAAATTATAAAAAATATAAATGAAACATGTACTATTTACAAACAAAACATTCAAATAGCTGCCTTTCTACTGGTAGGATGGGGGCATGGGCGTAGCCAGGATTTTAGTTAGAGGGGCAGAACCTCAGATTTGTATTGATTTGTGTTGATTTTTACTTTGTTGTGGGGGCAGCTGCCCCCCGTCCCCCTTGGCGACACCCATGAGGGGGGCCACAGGAAGGAAACAAGGTTGGGAGGGGGCCACGGTCAGAAAAAGGTTGGGAAACACTGATTTATATGAATGTTGTGGGTGAATGGTGTATGTGGGTGTGTGATGACTAACTTCAGTCCATTGATTTTCTGGAAATTCACTGAATATGCCACCAGATGATGATGATGATGATGATGATGAAATAAATACTTGCAGTCTTACAATTGAAAGACCCTTGTAAATTAATTGAATGACAGTTTATTGCAAAGTTTATAATCTTTCTCTCTTTCTTTTTTATATGCTATGCTTTATGAAATTTATTGAGCTACAAGGCATGAAAATACATGATAAAAAACCTTGTTAATAGCAATGCACCTAATGGCTATAAATACATCAGATAAAAATTCATTTACTGCACTGCTTAATTAGCTGCCACCTATTTCCACAACTAGATGAAATCTGGTTTACAGAGCCATGCGATGCAGGATTGCTATTTTTTCTGCCCATTTAGGAAGGTTAAGAATGCAATTAATTGGGAAGGTAAACATCCAGTTGTTTGCTAAGCTCTGCCATAATGGTTTGCAAACACATACGGGACATTTTGATAAGTTTGCTTTCTGCAATCTGTGGATTGATAAAGGCCCATTTTGTACAAATGATGTACTGTTCTGCTTCCAAAAAAGCATTTTGCCTAGGGTTGTTGTTTGTTCTTAAAGACAATTTACAGTAGGTGAATACAAATATGCGGCTCATTTTACGAGCAAACGTGATGCATTTGCCCAACTCATAAAGCTTCTGGAGGGATTTTAATTTCACACAACTGTATGGTTGTATTTCCTCAGAGCTACAAGGCTCCTCTTTTCTTCAGTTAAGGTCTGAGTTCCCTCAAATGTCATCTACTGGAGGGCGACATGTAGGCAGTGGGCGGAGCCTGAGTCAAAAGTGTTCCACCCATTTCTTTTTGTCTCTATTCTAATCCCTCTTTTCTTTGGCCCCATTTAAATCAGTATCATTCCACTTTAACAGTCATGGTTTTCCTCAAACAATCCGGCACACCCAGACCATTGACCATGTTAGGTGAGGCTGATGGGAGTTGTAGCCTAAGAATTATAAGCTCCCCAACTCTGCCCAAAGGTGTTGTATCAGAAATGTGAGAAGCTCCTGAGTGTCCAGGAATTAACTTTTCCAAGGTTGTGTTGATGCTAATGCAACTACGACACAAGTACGAAAACCTTGGCTTCCCCTTCAGAGTGGCTTTTCTTTTCTCCTCTCTCTCAGACTGGCCGTTCTCTCGTGGAGTGCTCGAAATAAATAAGCACGCTTCAGATGATTCTCAGAACCAAACTCATAATTGTTGCCATTCCCCCCTCCCTCCTTTAGACCCTCTTAATTGGCTCTCTCATATCTCAGCTTATGTGCTGCATGTCCTTTCACACTTGTAGTGTCCTCCCCATTTACATCTCTATCGCCAACAGGCAGCAGATCTCCCCTTGGAGGGAAGAGCATCTCTTTGGCAAACAAACACAAGGTGACAGCTTAGCTAGCACTAGCTAGGAGAAGCTCAAACGGACTAGCTGGATGATTTCCCCTGTTGTAGAATGTATTAAAAAGGGACCGTGAATAGGAGAAAGCAGGCAGAGATTCATCTTGAAGTTATCCCATTTATTTGGCAATGACGAGTCAAGATGGGTGACTCTAGAAATTGCCTGAATGGTGAATCAAAATCCCTGGTGATATAAATACATGTCCTGCCTAAGTCATATTTATAATTGGAAAATAACAATTTACTGAAACCTTGATGGCCTACATGAAGTTTGAGCTTGGATTAGCCCTTTCTCGAATTAGGCGGAAGGCCACCAAGATCTTGTATCTTTTGTTGGTTACAGAACAACTTTGTATTCCCATTCCTACTGGGATG